TTTAGCCTGAAACTCTCAGACTGAAGAAGTCTCTTGGAGGAGAGATGAAACATTTCATTAAAGAAGAACCCGTCCAGAAGACCTATACAATTTTTTTCTTTTTGATTTTTTACCTGGATTTACTGAGATGCATCAGGACAATCTACAACTGATTACCGTTTTGAATCTGTTCAATTCAAGATGGCCACAGAAGCTAACCAACTTTAGCCAAAACAAAAATAGTGATAACTGTCAATTTTACCATTACCGAGCAAAAATTTAACGAGGTATTAGCTGAAAGTCATTCACAGCACCTATTCTAAGTATCATATTTCATAATATTGCACGAGACTGAGCATAATGTTATTTTCAAGGTTTGTTTAAAGTGGCTTCAACTGCGTATTCTCAACATGAGATGATTTTCATTCAGTCAAGGAATGCGAGGCTTTTGTGTGAGTGTGCATTAATACATGAATGAACATTATAATGGCTTAATTGATTTTCCAATCACTGTAATGCATTTTTAATGACATTTTTATGTACATTTAGTGATACATAAAGCAGCATATGAAACTGTTTAAGATGAGTTAAATACCCACACATCAAAAGACGCGTCCTTCTTTTTTCAACTTGTGATCCCACTCATATGAAATGTTTTATGCGTGTTTGTGACAGGATTGTTGTGCAGGAGCACAGAATACGGCGCTCAGCTTGTCATTTCTCTGAGACATCCCGCTTTTTCTGCAGACACTGCACCCACCACCCCTTCCCGTTTTCTCCACAGTTTGTTGCCTAAGCAGCAAAAGTTGCTTGCATCAAGCACGTGTGCGCATATTTGGACGTTGTGTGCAAGATTACGTAAGCGTTGTTTACTGGACCATTACTAATACCCAGGTGGGTAAAGTGACTCGAAAATGGGGGTGGGGTGGAAGCAAGTTTTGGAGCCGGCAGCTAAGTCACGTAATGTCTTCAAACATCTGTGGAAAAGGACTACGGTTTTAACACTCATTCATGTGCTGATGAACCCGCCATACTGATTTTAAACCACTTTGGATAAGGATGGATTGAGCAATAACAGCATGAACAGCTACATACTTTAGCACAGTGGTTCCCAAACTTTTTATCAACTAACCCACGAAATGTTCATGGCAAACACTTGTGACCCCAAATATTACTGGTCTGAGTACACAAACTTTATTAATAACCCTAAAAACAAAGGCTACACAAATATAAATACATATTTATACTTATTTTGTGTTTTTGTAATAATTATAGGGAAAATATTACATCACCTATTATTTTATTACACTTTAAATTGATTTCTGGAGTGCAGTGGTTCCCAAACATTTCAGCTTTTGACACACAACATAACAGCAGCAGAGACCTGTGCCCACTATTATTTCTGGATGATAAACATTTGTATCAGGTCAGCTAAACATGGGCATAGTAACAATATTTATTATTCTACATTTATACATTTTAGGCAACTAAGGCAAAAATGTAATTAATT